TGTCATATTTGTGTTTAAATAGCCAATTAAAGCTTAATAAGAAAAACTAAGATTACTAAAATATCCTTGTACTCAATAAATACAACAATTGTTTTTTTTTGTCTTACATCTTTTATATCAAGTGACACAACCAAACATTGTATCGGTAAATCTGCTCAGTCAGGATGGACAAATACACTAAGCAACAAAATAAAACGCCCAGTTGGTTTAAATGAGCCTGGCTCGCTCTAGGCTATCCTAATCATCACCCTGTTCGTTTATGTTGAAACTTAGTTTATGCTGATGCTTATGTTGAAATATTGTGAGAGAAAATACTGTTTCATAGCTGAAAAGTAGCTCAAGCGAACATGGTGTATATCGTTAGCTAGGAGCCACCTTGCATCGAGTGTAGAGCCATCCGGAGTGGCGCCTCCTTGACCGCCACAATTTCATTTTTTTTAATATCCCTTTATATTTCGGACACCCAGCCTCGAAATACTAGGCCCGCCACGGTTGAGTGAGATAGGGCCACGAAAAACGGAAATGAAACTCGTTTCTCAAGAGCCAGACTGATGGTGCCTTTTGTAACCTTTTATTGTAGCCATGTTCAAATCTTTGTCTAGGTAGCCAAACAACATAAATTTATATCCCATAAGCCTAGACTGGTTTTATACAGGTAGCCAAACATGCTACAAATGTTTTTGGTTGGTCTATGAAACGGCAAGATGAAATTGTACACTGAGAGTTTCATTTATGAATATAAATCTCATATTACACTTTAGAATTTCACTTATCTATACTATAAAGGAACGGAAAAAATAAAAATAACCTCTCACCCTGACATTTCTACCTTAATTTCTGTCCCTTAGATCTACATTAAAATCAGATATAACACATGTAAATCATCCATCATGATCTGACAAACGGATCCAGTCAAAAAATTTGTAAACATTTACGCGTGTTTCTATGCCCTATATGCTTGTTTTATGAGCTTCTGTTTAAACAAATAGTTTTAACAGTACTTACTCTCAGCGATGGTTCAGCCGAGCAAACGGGGCCGTCTTGCTTTGAATGTTTTTCTCACCGTGCTTGACCCTACCCGCCCGCCGTAGATATCCCATCTGTTCGCCTCCGCTAATCCGCTTCATCCCATGCCCATCGTCCGTTCGATCTCCGTGCAAGGCGAGCCGCTACCTCTTACCAATCAATGGCGGAGCCGAATCGACAGCATGCGGTCGTTCATGGAGGTGCCGGCGGGCTCGCACTTCCCCATCCAGAACCTGCCCTTCGGGGTCTTCCGCCGGCGGGGGATGCAGGCGCCGCGCCCCGCGGTGACCACGAGGGACTTTGCGCTCGACCTCGCCGCCGTCGCCGACGCGGGGCTCTTCGACGGGCCTGCGCTCTCCGGCTCCCCGTGCTTCCACCAGGTGCCTACTCTACTCTTTAGCCCATGTTTCTTCATAGAAGCCATTGACGACAATCTATATAACCAAGGAAACATTTTTCTTGGCAGCAACAGAATAATAGTTGCTTAATCAATTTATAGCCAGAAACTCAAGCACATAAGATCTGAATCTCAACTATGGATAACAATTTTCTGAATTGAGTGGCGGCCTCTAGCGTGTAATTCAGTGATATATCCATTATTATGCAGTTCAGAATGCCATGCTCTCCTTATGATTATCCAGGCAACAAAACGATGCTTTTTATCTGTCCAAATAAGCTGCTGGTTTTGATAAAGTAGTTGAGCGCTGCCCTGTTGCAAAGAGACCTCCAAGAGTTCCTGTGCCTTTTTTATGGCACTGTATCATGGCTTGTTTTTTCATAAAGATGAGGGCATATTGGGTTTTCCTGAAGTAGACAACTTAGTGCAGGCTAATCTGGTATTACCCAAAAACTTGTCTGTACATTCCAAATCTGGAGATGCAGAACCATCGCAAGCAAATGTTGCATCCTTGCAACTTCATGTGCCAAGGATGACCCAAATGTTGAGACAATATGTGGAAGAATTTGATATGAAATATCAGAGTTTATCATCTGACATGAAAGTGGATTATGATCAACCGTACCTTTTCAGCCAATGAACGGTACTTTTCTCTCACACCAAATCAGCGAACAGTACTTTCAGCCATGGCTTATCAGCCAAACAAGCCTAAACGAAGAGGGCGTTAGCTTTTAATGGCACTGTCAAACTGACACGATTCGTGAGTGAACTATGCCTTACAAGGGTTCTGATCCGAGCTTTCAAGGAAGGTTCTTTCGAAGAGGGTGCTGTTGTTTGAGCCCCATTTCCTTCAGATCTTTCAGCTTGGGAAATCAGGTCAACATCCTGTGTGTCCTTTTATATCAATACATATATTGTCAAAAAGAAACTTCAATCGAATATATGTCAGTACGCAAAATGTGAATATTTGTTTTTCCATGTAGGTGTGTGCGTCTGGCATGGCAAGGGACCTGTCAACTGGCCCTGCCTTCTCTTTTCATGAATGATGTCCTTCCTTTTGAAGGACACTCACATGTATAAACAAGACTTAACTGGCCATGGAGAAGCCAATCGTCGTTATCAGCGCAGCTGCTTGTTGATATTCCACCTGAAATAGAGTTGTCCGACTACCGGAGATTGCCAAGTTCTGGAAGTAAGAGCCCATTGGGACTTCTCCATGGTGAAGGCTTCAAGAAGAACCTATCCCTGATTTGAATATTTTCTTTAAATGCTTTACGAATATTTCTGTGCGCAAGGGCTTAGGTGTATCATTACCAAATGGATAATATAGATCCTTAATGTACTTTTTATGGTCTGCTGTATCGGGTTCTTTTTCTTATTGTTGATTGGGATACTCTTATTCATTTGAAATGTGGTGTGGAGGCAATTGAATCTGGGGAGAAACCATGCGATACGATGAAGGTCATTAAGCACGATCCATTAGTTCCCTTTGCATTGCTCAAAATGATAATTGTTGGATCAATGGTCATAATGACAGCTTATGGACTTACCAACTTCCTCAAGTTCTTTGTACAGTTAAGAAGTACACTCAATGTTATCAGTTCTACTATGACAAATAACTTTTCTGCTTATGTTTTTCATGCTTAATTATTTTTTTGTTTATCTCAGAGCAATGACTTTGCCCTTATTCTGTTTACCTTCATGCAGACTTAAGGCCAATGATCTTGAGATTCATACTATATATATGATGGCCCAAAATAACCGAGAAGGTTGTCCTGCTCTAGAAATCTCAAAAACTTTGTGTTGTAAGGGATCTCTCAAAGCATGATCTTATCATGGGAATCATGAGGAAAGAAAAATTTTTTATTGGGATGGTCAATAAAGGCATTCTTTTATTTTAAATACATTCTTGTGTGCGTGGGGCTAGCCCTACTGTTGGATCACATAAGCATGGCAGGAGAAACTATCTGATACTTCCAAAGGCCCTCGAATGGACCTTAAATTGGTGCATCTTTCAAAGTATGTTTGATAGGTAAGGAAATCTGTAAGTAGAGCCCATTTTTTCAATTATAGAGTAGATATGAGGACAATTAGCCATTTAGGAACTGCCAGCTTCGTTAAATACAAGACATGTTTGTAGGAGCACATGATAGTTTAAGTGTAGAAGGCGGCTTAACATGGACATAAGGTCGATATATAGAATATTGCTGCTGGACAATCATGGTTACAATCATCTGTATTGTACAACGAATATTTGCTTTGCTTCTTCATCCTTATGAATCAAATACTACAATTAAAGTGTGCAAAAATCATGGTTACCTCATTCGCGTGATGTCACTGTGTCTGGATTCAGGGGCTAAAGTTTAGTCGTGTCGCATCGGATGTTCGGATGATAATTAGGAGGACTAAACATGAGCTAATTATAAAATTAATTGTACAGGAGTAGACTAATTAGCAAGACAAATCTATTAAGCCTAATTAATCCATAATTATCAAATGTTTACTGTAGCATCATGCTTTCAAATCATGGACTAATTAGGCTTGATAGATTCGTCTCGCAAAGTAGCCTCAATCTATGTAATTAGTTTTATAATTAATCTATGTTTAATACTTCTAATTATATCAAACATTCGATGTGATAGAACTAAACTTTTGCCAAAAAAAACAAACACAGATCTTTCTAATAGACACGTGCCTCATCTACTAGTATCAATATAAATCTCATGTTACACTTTTGTAAACCTTTTAATAAAACAATGCACTCAAAATGGCCTTACTGACACGTGGGATTTTTTTTACCCTGGCAAGGCACACCATCCTAGAGCCTTGATTCTCGATAATGGCCTGCATTGGAGAATGCATACGTGTCCTTGCTTCCTAGCCCTAACGCTCCGTACTTTCGTAGCCAACGTTTGTAGTGAGAGAAGCAAGAAATGGAGTCATATTGCACAAGAATCACACTGTAGAATAATGCTAGTAGGATTAGCCTAACAAATCAGAAGATCGTTTATCGTATCAACAACCAAGACGAGCTTTTTGTCTGCATCATCAACAGCCGCGTACCAGGAAAGCAACCTCTCCATGTTGCCGTACGGCGATACCCTTCAACCGCCAGCGCCCGTCGATCTGCCATCTCCGGCGGGTCAGGCTACAAGAACTCGTGCAACGACGACGACGCCCAACCCGTACGCACAGGTCCTCTCCATGACTCTCCAACTGCCGCTGCCGGCTGCTCAGGAGTCAGATCTTCCGTAAAGAAGTGATGAATTGGTATTAGTAGTACATATGGTCAGATACTCAGATGATTGGGACAAAAACTAGCAGAACCTCAGAAACTCTTCAGAGTTCAGACTGACTTAATGCAAGTGATTGCATTCATGTTTTATTAGTGCCTCATCTGTGAGCTCACATCAAGTGAGTGCTGTACGTTGGCAGGAAATACATCTCATTTCTCCCCTTTGGATCGAGGTAGACAACAGGATTTTGAAGGGCCTATGAATGTCGATATGCACAGTTTACTGTTTAACTCTTTTCTGTTGGTGCATTTGCAGCAGAAGCATTAACGATTTCTAACTATCTATATTTTCGAATGCTTTGCCTGGGCTGCCTGGCTGAACTCCTTGCGCAGGACTCTCCTCATGACCTTGTTAGAGGCGGTTCTAGGGAGAGATGGGACCACAACGACGGAGGAAACCTGCATACATAGGGGGGAGCAATGGAGTCCTTAGGGGATTTCTGTGGTTTGCCAAATCAAAACCTGGACAGTTTTTACAGGAACAATGCACGCACCTTGAACAGAGGGTTCAGTTTCTTCAGAGCCACGTTGAATGCTAGTTTCAGCTGGTTCCAGTCCTCTACTTGTGAGCTCTGGTCTTTCAACACGACGGCTATGGTTAGTTGTTCAGGGCCACCCCCTACAGGTGGAACCCCGATAGCTGCTGTTTCAACGATGGCGTCATGTACTCTGTTGCAGATCCTCTCAATCTCAATGGAACTAACCTGAAAGTGATGATGAAATTCCATGTCTGGATCAGGAAATGCTACATTGCATTGCGTAGTTGCATATTTCCACAACACATTGCATACCTTAATTCCACCAAGGTTCATTGTATCATCTGCACGCCCATGAGCCCTATAATACCCGTCAGAAGTACGCTCAAATTCATCTCCATGCTCATGGAGGATCTGCATTTTTACAATGTTTAGGGGCTCAACCTTTACACATTAGCAAGGAGCAAAGAACACAGATACATACTTTCCCGTGCCATTCTGGCATTCCGTTGAAATAAACCTCCTGATGATCAGCATTCAGAAGTGTTGTTGATGATCCAAATAAAGTTGGATCAAGTGCAAGTTCACCAATACCCACACAGTCTTGTGGCTATGAAGATTGAAGAGAAGCACTAACATCAGCTCTGACAGTTATTTTCTTATGAGATTTGTGGAAGCTAACAGACTAGCAAAAGAAGAATCCAGATATAATGTGTATCAAAATTTGCAAGCAGTACATGAACACAGTAGGACATAATGCTAGGCTAACGCTGATATAAATGTAGAGATGTCTAGTGCTAACATTCCACACCCAGGAATCCATGCTATGCATTGGTATGAAAATAAGATATATTGATTTTTGAAGAAAAAAAAAAGACAAAAGGTGAATTCAGGAAAAATCCTATTCCATCATTCCATGAGCTTACCAAAGGATTCCCGCTGCTATCAAGAATGAATAGGTTACAACCCATGGCAGGTGTGCTGAATGCAGACAACGCTTGAGGTTGCAGCAAGGATCCAGTAACAAATCCACCACCAATCTCTGTGCCTCCACAGTACTCAATTACTGGCTTGTAGCCAGCTCTTCCCATCAGCCATAAATAATCATCCACACTGGATGCCTCCCCAGATGAGCTAAAGCATCTGTATATAATGAATATGACCAATAAAAACTGTATGCCATACAAGATGTGTAATATGCAAGTTAAGACAGAAAAGGACTGGAGAGTTGAGCAATTAAGAAATATTACCGGATGGAGGACCAGTCTAGTCCAGCTGTACAGTCTGTATTCTTCCATGTACGAGCGATGCTGGGTACCAGTCCAAGCATTGTCACCTTAGCATCCTGGAAATTAGGTAACTATAAGTAGGAACAAGATTGCAATGAATGAAAATAGAATACCATTAAACTAAATTTTAATAAAAATCAGAGACATTGTGGAGCGATATACATAGAAACAATGCAAACTGGACAGTTTCATGCCTGCACTATTCATTTTTCATAAGGATCCACAAACATATGAGTGAACCAAGTCAAACGATTGAGGTTCATGATGAGTACCCAAAAAAGCTTAACTGGAATAGCAAACCATGCATAGAAAACTTTGTGCATTCAGTTTATGTTCTAGCTATTTGGGATTGATATTTAGACAGTATAATGTATACGAACACAATTGTGAAATGGTCCATAATTTCTGTCATTCTGACACTAATTTTGTGAATTAAGCTGTCTATTTTCTGTACCTGTACAAACTTTGCAAAGCCTGAACTATTTGGGGAGCCATTATACAGAGCCATGGAAGCTCCATTCAGTAAGGAGGCATAAACAAGCCAAGGACCCATCATCCAACCAAGATTAGTTGGCCATGAAACAACATCTCCTTTACGAATATCCATGTGACACCATCCATCCGCAGCTGCCTTTAGGGGTGTTATATGTGTCCATGGAATTGCTTTGGGCTCCCCTGAATATGGAGAAGTGTCAGAAATTTTTGTACAAATATATTTTAAATGCACTAATTGATCAACTTGTTATCATCATAAATTTGATCTGCCATTGGCCAGTTTGAAGTATGCAGCTGTATACCTAATAATTGCATATGGACGAGACATGTCAGAACTGACAAAATTATTAAACGTCATGTTACCTGTGGTCCCTGATGAAAATAGGACATTGGTGAATGCATAGGCAGGTTGCTTAACAGCAGTGTAATTTTCCGCCCTGCAGTTTTTTTTTTTTTTTTGTTCTATCAGTGAATGCCCAATAGAAATAGCATCAAGTTATTCCAAGGAAACTAGGTGGATTTCATGAGTTAACTAATTTCTTTCCAGACTACTTAACCAAACAACTAGTGAGCTTATTGAACATTGCACATTGTGAAAATAATCTAGAACTGCGCTCAGTCAAATTCACTCTAGAAATCGTTGTTCAGATAACACAGGAAAGACTGTCGTAGAACCTGGGCTTCTACCCAAATTTCAAGATATGATAAGAAAATAACTCACTCGGTATGATTAACCTTTCCAAGGAAATCTTGCCAGGAAAGGTCGTCAACACGTAGTCCCTTTATTGGCAAAGACCCCCTTACAGGAATCACAATTGCCATAGGGGCCTTAGCCTCCACAACTCTACTGTAGAACCCAAAATATGGTGTGAGAAGTATATTCTAATAAATACAAATTCTTGATGTAGCTTTTGTACTTAAACACGCACCTGTACAATGGCAGTTCTTTGTCATCACGAAGGATGTAATCCTAGAAAGAAAAGGACTGTCAGTATTCCAATCTTTATTTAAGCATAAACTCTTTTCAGAAAAAAAGTATCAGCTAATTAAATGAAGAAGGAATCAACCAGTAGCAACAGGGTCAGCCAGCTACCTGCGTAAAAATTGCCTTTGCTTCTGATATCTTTAACCTCATCGCTATTGCAGGTGCAGCAAAACTGTCTGCAATTGAGACAACCACATATCCCGCCAACACAATTGCAAGGTAGATCACAACAGCATTGACATCCATAGGCATGTCAATAGCAATTGCAGATCCTTTGGCAGTTCCAGGGCATCAAGTGCATTCGCCACGAGGCTGCTCTAGACATAGCAAGACAAATTGGTTATGGGATCAGATTATGATGAATCAAAAGCATGCCTAAGATCAAAACTAGTAATACTTAGAGCAGGATATGGTTACCCACCAAACTTTCTTCCTCAATTCCTCTAGGGACATAAAGTTCAGAGGCTCAGAATCCTTCCCCTCATCCCTCCATACAATGGCTGGACTGTCGGAGCTCCTCCCGGGTTTAGCAGTCAAGCAATTCGCAGCAGCGTTCAGCTCGGCGCCTGGTAGCCACTCGCCACCGGGATACGCAGCGTTCTCTCTCCAGATGCAGGATGGCTCTACACTGAATTCGACATCCATCTCCTCAAATACCATCTTCCAGTACGCCTGTCCTTGGAACCCACGGATCGATATGAGACAGTAAGCTCACTTTTGCAACAGTAACAAGCAGCGAAGGAAGCAAACAGTAGTAGTAGTAGTAGCTTATATCACCTCTGGGTTCTCGTTGGAGAACTTGTGGAGGTCTGGGAAGCTGGTGATGGGATCCTTGTACGCGTCGCCGATGAAGTCCTTCCCGCGCGCCTCCAGGACACGGCCGACATTGGTCAAGGCAGCCTCCTTGCTGAAAATTTGTTTCCCGCAAAAATCAGCAGGATTCAGAAGGGGTAAAAAAATATCTTTGAGGTGAGTTTGTTGAACGGAAAAATATCGGAGCTTTACGGGTCGGGGGTCCAGGCCGGCGGCGTCGGGGACGGGAACCCGGCGAAGCAGCCGTAGTAGAGCATCCGGTGGACGGCGAAGGGACGGACGGACGGAGCACGGACCGGCAGAGTTCCCCACACCGCGGCGGGGCCGTGCGAGTCGAGCGCGCGCCGGAGCGCCGAGTGGAGCGCGGTGGCGTCCGACCCAGGCGCCGCCGCGGCGAGGTCGTCGGCGGTGATCGCGCCCAGGGGCTTGTGCAACGCGGCGGCCATGGCGTGCCGCTGCTACAGCTGCTGCTGTTCAGCAGAAAGATGAGATGCAAGGCAGAATTTCTTTGCGGAATAGTTGTAGAAGAAGAAGATAGAATTGTCGGACCGGTGTACCAACCTGGCGAGCAACCTCACAGCGATCAGCTCACGGAGACCTCATTTAAATGCAGGACGTAAAATCTATCATATTTGGTGTCGTATGGGCCGTTTGCTAATAAAAAAACAAATTATAAAATCTATCAGTCATCGTCGAGACAAATTTAGTAAGCCTAATTAATCAATCATTAGCATATGTGTTACGGTAACATCACATTGAATCATGAACTAATTAGACTTAAAAGATTCGTCTCGCAAATTAATAACAAACTGTAAAATTAGTTCTTTTTTAGTCTATATTTAATACTCCGTGTACGTGTCCAAACTTTCGAATAGATAGGAAATAAACTTTAGAGAGAGTAAGGTCTTTATTTAAATCCAGGACTAAAGTTTAGGGGTGTCACATCGTGTGTCACATAGGGGTATCATATAGGAGTATTCGGATAGTAATAATAAAACAAATTATATAAGTCATCAATAATCCGCGAGATGAATTTATTAAGCCTAACAAATCCGCCATTAGCACATACGTTACTGTAGCACCACATTATCAAATCATAGACTAATTAGGCTTAAAAAATTCGTCTCGTAAATTAGTCGTAATCCATATAATTAGTTATTTTTTAGTCTATATTTAATACTTTATGTATGTATAACATCTAATGTGATAGAGACTAAAGTTTAGAAAGGGAAAACAAACGAGACCTAACTAAACAAGGCCCGGGACAGAGGGAAAGCTCAGATAGAGATGTACTCCTACTCCAACAATACTAGCAGTTGTATAAATATATTTTGTCAAAATTATTTCTCGAAAAGCAAAAACGATAAATATTTTGTGACGGACTACTCCCTCTGGTTCATTTTATCTGGTGCAAGTTAGAAAGACAAGTTCACCTAGATTACACTTTTGTTTATATTATATTATTTATGCTTATAAATTTATAATCATTGATAGTATAAATCCTTATAAATCTAATCATATAAAATTTGTATTATAATAATTAAAAATCATTAGTCTAATTATTAGTTAAAGTTTAAATCTTAATATTCGTGTGCACTAGATAAAATGGATCGAAGGGTAACGTACAATAGACAAGTGGCCGAGAAAAATATGATATCCCACATTCTTTACGTGGCACGAGGCACGAGCAGGGTGAGATTTGCTCCGTTAACGTCTTCATATAGCCCTTTTTCTTTCCAGTTTTGTGACTCAAGTGGACTCTTTGATTCTATCTGACGCCGAGCCTAGTATGCCAAAGAGGTATCGCTCTATACCCTGTGATTGTTCTGATTTTCAATTGTTTCTGTTTGAAATAAGGTAGTGATGGTTGTCTCGCCACTTTACGGTGGTTTTTTAGGCAGTAGCAACATGGACATATAAACCTGGTAGCCCGAGCCAAAAGTAGTGATACACAGAGGCATTGGTGGTCCTGGGGTCTCCAAACTCCTAACGCACTGAGCTCTCTCTCTGCTATGATTCCAAAGCCTAAACCACACGCCTTCTCAGACAAACGGATGATAGGGCCTCTCAGTTTTGTTTCCAACGCACGTCAAATGGGTGCTCTTAACTTTTGTCAGAGGAAGTGATAGATGCCTTTGTAGGCACCCTGATATGCTGCGAAGCTACTAGGCTTGTTTAGTTCGCGGTTAGAAATTAGTATTCGGCACTGTAGCACTTTCGTTTGTATTTGATAATTATTGTTCAATCATGGTCTAACTAGGTTCAAAAGATTCGTCTCGTAATTTACAATCAAACTGTGTAATTAGTTATTTTTTTATCTACATTTAATACTTCATACATGTATCAAAGATTTGATGTGATGAAGAGAGTAAAAAAACCTGGAATCTAAACAAGGCCCTACTGAGGGTGACATGGACACCAGAGGCAGTACGCCACCATGGAGCGACGAGGAAGCCTTTACCGGCTGTCTGTACCATGCCCTAGCTTTAGGTCAGTTTCGGTATCCGGCTTTTTACCTAGAGGAGCTTGAAGACAATTGTGGACGGTGACATCTCGCTCTATTTAGGCATCATTCTAGATCTAGAATTTAACAAAGATAAGCATATACGCGTGTGATCTTGTTTTATAGAAAATGACTAGTGCTCGTACCATGCTAAGCAACGTGCTCACTAAATAAAAAGACATAACAACCAGAATAATTACTCTGCACCGGTGGCGTCATTCTCATCAGTTGACATAATGAACTTGTTGATGTCGTGAATCATGATCGATGCAAGATGAGGCAGTGGTGGAGCTTGAACTAAAATCGAGGGGACCAATCAAACTTGAAGTACAAATAGAGGGAGCTAAATTAGCTATTGATCAATATTCAACTGGTGGAATTAAGTGTTCCTTTAATAAATTTTCTAAGTTAAGGGGGGCCATGGTCTACTTTAGCCTACACAAAGCTCCGCCCCTGAGATGTGAGATACGATGTGTCATCCCATAAATGTCCACCAGAAAGTAATCAATTCGGCTGTGTACTAGATTGCACCACGAAACATCTAGGCCGCGTTTAGTTCGGCCCCGGATTCAGCGCCGCCGGAATCCGAGGTACTGTAGCGGTACTGTTGTGCACTGTAGCGTTTTATTTTTATTTGATAATAATTGTCCCATCGTTGACTAATTAGACTCAAAACGTTCGTCTCGTAAAGTACAACCAAACTGTGTAATTAATTTTTAATTTCGTCAACATTTAATACTCTATGCATGTACCGCAAGTTTAATGTGATGGGGAATCTTCTTTTTGTATAGTGTCAAAATCTGTAAAACGAGAGAACTAAACATGGCGCTAGCAGGAAGCAATCAACCATGTAGTGTAGCAAAGACACTAATCGTCCAATTAAACTGTCACGCTCCACACTCTCCAAAAGCTCTGCAGACTCAGGAGGCTTGCTCGCTGAAGACCTATGCGAATAGGTGTTCTCGATCGAGGAAAGCAGAGAGCAGCAACAACAGAGAACAATAGTGTTCGAGCATCTGTTCACGTGCAAAGTCAGGACGAGATGCCCTTTTCATATAGCCATATAGGCGCCATGAAGCGAACCCCGACGGGCGGGGGACACACCTAAACGTCATCAATTCTCATGACAGTTACCGATAACGACTGTCATGATGGTCTTGATGAGTCTTAGTAGGGATACAAGCGGCCTAGCCTGCAAACCTGTATATGAGCTTAATTTTATAGGTTGCTCATGCAACCCACAAAATTAGGCCTATATACGGGTTCGAGAGGCTAGCCTACTTACATCTGCATTTATCAAGTGTCATCAATAGACCCCCAAACACATTATGCTCATGCCACGGCTTGGCTCACGCAGGTGTGGCATGCATGTCATCTCTCTCAACTTCACAATAGGTACACAAATAGTCATCGATTTAAGTTGAATTAATCCTTAGTCAAAATCTCATGTGAGAGTCACTTCTACAAAAAAGGTTTGTAGCAACGTGTTATTTTTTTAGGGACGGCCGGTGATGGAGCCGCCCCTACAGTAAGCGTGCTCGGGACTCACGAGACCAGCTGCCCCTATAAATAGCACAGTAAGGACGACGGGTGATACGAGCCGCCCCTACAAATAAGTCGATTTGTAGGGGCGGCTCACTCACCAGCCGCCCCCACTGTTACGATTTGTAGGGTGGCTCAATCACCAGTCGCCCCTACAAATGCTCCACGTATAAAAGGCTGCAACCCTCTTCTTTCTCCTTAGGTCACTCACTCTTACCCGAGAAAAAGGCTTGGGAGGCATTGGGCACCTCCCAAAAATTGTTCTACTAAGGTGGGAATGTTTTGGTCTCAAATCCTTTGGTGGAGAGGTTGTAGAAGGTAAGAAAATGCTATTCCAAACTTTTTTAAAAGTTTTAATGGTTGGTTAGTGAGTAATTAGAGTTTTGTTTTTCTCTCTCTTCTACGGTGCTTGAGCTACTTATGAAGCAAATTAGACCCAAATTTTGAATGTACTAGGGTAAATTAAGTAGGGGAATAAGATCATACCCTTGTTTGATCGATGTTTCTTGATTTTAGTGAACAATTAGTTAGTTTTATAGATGTTTCATGTGCATCTAGATCTAGATCTAGGTTTTTTTTATTAATTTTATTTTTGTAAATTTATGTTTCATGAAATTGGACTAGGGTTTGCATGAAAGATATTGGGTAAATATTAATTGTTGCTAATTGTTATCTTTGAAATTATTTATTGTAATAAACAAATATGTATTTTTTAATTATTTATGCATAAATAGGCCATTAATTAATTATCCTCTACCATGGTGTGTTTGATATGCTTCATGTAATTATATTTGATTTATATTTATATATATCTGAAGTATATATAATTATTGTCGAGTAATTATTAATTTGATTCCTTTATATATATATATATCTGAATAAGTAGTCCTTTAATGTATTTTCTTTGGTTGTTGTTGTAAAAGATGGAGTACAGGAACTCTTGGATGTATGGTTAGTTAAGGTTCAAGGCAGGTTTCCATGAAGAAGTGGATAAATTTATTGAAGCCGCAGAGAAGTATGCAACGACGTTGATAGAAAACAAGGATACAATTATTTGTCCCTATAAAGATTACAAGAACCTTATCGCATGGACAGATGTGACTATCACCAGATCACATTTGATTATACGAGAATTTGTTAAGGACTACACAGTGTAGATTCATCATAGTGAAACGATTGTTGTTAACGTTGACGATGAGGAGGAAGATGACGACGAAACCCTAGAATCTCTCTTCCAATATTCAGCAGAGCTTGATGCACGAATGGATCCCGAGTTTGGCAATGAACAAGGTGGTGATGCTGGTGGTTGGAATGGTAACGACGAAGATGGTGCTAATAATGATGGCGGAGCACGTGTCGGGGATAAAAATGATTATGATGATTTGGGCCCTTGGACCAGAG